ATAAAATCCTCAATAAGACACCCAAATGTAATATTAAGGCTAGGACCCAACACAATACTTTAGAACTTGGAAGAGGGATGCCGTAATCCAAGCTATAAAATGGTTAAAGGTAGGCGAATGACGATTCACCAATTTCCACCATGAAAAACGAAATAGATATTAGGTTTTAATTGGATTGAAAATCCTAGATATTTTGAGATTCATTGAACTTTTCAATGGCATGTTTAAATCTCGATTGTGCCCTTCAATTTTGTGACTGGGATGCCGAGGATCACAAACAAGGTGTGAATAACCATGCAAATTAACTTGGTACCATTAATATTATCACCTAATCAATGTGTTGGTTACCTACACGTGCTCCACCGATCTATGATAAGTATTAAGTCACCCTTTTCCACTCTTACTAGTCCATGTTAGTGTGCCGGTTACCCACACACGCTCCACCAACGACTTGGTAAGGTACAAAGTGTAATTTCATGGGTTAGCAGCAATTTCACATTTTCCTAAAGTAACAAAGATTGGGAATTTATAAAAGGTTTAGTTACTTTATATTTATCATTATACTTTTAATGATAATTATAGTCCTTGTCCTACCCGTTCGGCTAACCACCCTCCACCAGTCAAGGAAGCAGTGGGTGAGAGTGGACACCCATTAAGCTGCCATTTTATAGGCAACAACCTTATACCCCCTTATAGATCGGCTTCGTGAATGAGGCCTACTAACGGTAAAACTGACTGGCTCTTATATATATATATATATATATATATATATATATATATATATATATATATATATATATGTATATATATATATATATATATATATATATATTTAACTGTATATTATAAGTATAAGGGTTGAATTTTAACTTCTAAAACTCTAGGGTTTGGAATTAAAGTTTTCTAAAGTGACTTTACAAATTCCAAAACTTGAGGGAAAGTTTTGAAACTATTCAAAACCTTTCATATTCAATAACTTATGAGTTTTTAATAACTTTAAAGAAAAGACTTTTGGAATTCCATAACTTGAGGACAAGTTATGGAGTCCATTAATTTGCATTAAGATCAAGAATTACACTAACAAACAATTTGCAAATAATTCCTATGATCTTCTAAAACTCATAAGCCTGAACATTCAAATCAACAATTTCAAGAATCATATAAAACATATATAAAACTTGAAAATTTGATAATAACCATTGTAAATGGATTAGCATAATCATTACCACATAAAAAACAGGTTTTATAAGTCCAAAATAGTTTAGGGTAATGATTCTAGTCCATTTCCAGCAGCAAAACTCAAAAATCTGCACACAGAGCCTCCTACTCGCCGGGTGCATGAATCCTACTCGACGAGTAGGATGAATATTCACTTGGACTCATCGAGTCCCCCCATGGACTCGGCGAGTTCACTGAACAGTGAGCAAAAATTTTCGACTTTTTAAATCATTTTGCATCAAGTATACAGAAAACAAGCCTAGTCTCTAATACCACTGATGGGTTTTGAGCATTCTAACACTCCTATGGTGTACATGCAACCCTAGAAACCTTGGATCTATGTTTTCTCTAATATACATGCAAATAAGAATTTTCCAAGGTTCTCATCCTAGCTAGCATGGCATGGGGTACTTGTAATATAAAAAACTAGTAGAATGACATACCTTTGTAGTTGCTTGGATTCCTTAAGACCTTGTGAGCCTAGCACCCCAAATGTGATGCCTCAAATGCTTCACACAACACCACAACTCTTGGAATAACTAGAGAGAAGAACACTTGAGCACAAAATCGTATAGCCCTCACTCTTTTAGTTTTAGTGGTCGATTTTGCTTACTATGAGGTTCCTTTTATAGTGTGTCACATGTAGGGTTACACCATGTAAACCCTAATGTGCATGGCTTTTCATTTCCCCCATGATCCATGGGTTTTAACCTCCATGGAGCACCCAATGGGTCCTAGCCCAATCTAGTGAATCATGAACCATAAGCCCACTATATAAGAATGAAAGATTTACATAATCAATCCTCATATATTTAATTAGTCTCTTTTTGATCACAAAACTAATTCAAAATTAATTCTTGATCAATACTAATTAAATAATATGATTTCATATTAATATATTAGAATATATTAACAAATCATAAGTGTCCTTATTCTCATTTTGTCTATCCAAATGTTGAGATGCCATGCAACCCAAATGGACCATGCCAAACCGGGTCAAGTACATACCAAATATAGTTATGGACTTAGACACATTATCCAACAGTTATCATGTCGACTTCTTACAATCCCAAGTCCTTTGGTCTCAACAAGATTCCTCCTTTCGATGAGCACAACTTCGCCATGTGGAAAACTAAGGCCATGGTTGTTCTTGAAACCATAGACTATGAGATACTTAAACTTATTAAAAAAGGTCCTCACATTCCTATGTATTAACCTATGGTCAACAATGCTCCTGTTGATCCTTTGATGCAAAAACTAAAGACTAGTTATGACAACGATGACAAGAAACTGATTAGTCTTAATGTTAAAGCTAGAGCAGCAATAGGAAACTCTCTTCCCTATCATGTGTATCATCTTGTATAGAATTGTGAGTCAGCTCAAGATATGATGGAAAAACTAACAGTGGCTTATGAAGGCACTTTGGAAGTTCAAGCCACTACCATCAGAAACTTTAATCGGAGATACGAGCATTTCTTCGCTCAACAAGGTGAATCACTAACCCAAAATTTTAACATATTTAACTGTTTGGTTAATGATATGCACAGAATGGGAATTATCAAGCATTCTTCTCAGTTGGTTATGAATTTTTTGGACTCTTTTGGGAAAAGTTGGGAACATCACGCTGATGTCCTTAAAAACAGTGATAAGGTCAATGTCATGGATCTAAACTCCTTGTTTGGAAATCTACAAAATTACGAAGAGACCACATCTATTCGTAAAGATATCATGAAGGGATCAAGCAACGAAAAAGTATATAGCCTTGGTTTCTCGAAAGGAAGAAATAATGCACATCATCAACTCAGATGATTCAGATCAGGGTGAAGAGAGTGGTGAAGAAATCATTTATGAACTTGTTCCAGCGCTGCACTTATTGTCAAACGTTAAGAAGAGAGCATATCAAATGGGGTTCGAAGAGCTCAGTTTAAGGGAGGCAGTTCAACAAGGAGATCCACTTTAAAGAAGAAAACCTCAGGTAATTGTTTAAACTGTGGAAACACTGAGCATTTTTCTGGGGACTGCAAAGAGAAGAAACAAGCTCAATGTTCGGAAAACTATGAAGTGTTGTACAAGAAGCTGTTGGCTCACATGAATAAGGAGAACATCTGTCTACCAAAAGCGTTCATTGCAAAACAAGAGGATCAGGAAGAATGGTTGGAAGAAGAGGAGACATCCACTACAAGAAAAAGACCCTTTTACCACGCACAAACCACGACACTCATTGGTTTATGTTACGCAAAACAGAGTGATATTAAAAAAGTGTCATCTCTTCAAAAATTTTAAGGATTTAGGTCACACATTATTGCGTGCCCTTAAATTAGTGTCATAAGAAAAAAATTAAAACACGGAGGGCGCTGTATCTTAAATGTGCGTCCTCTATAAGTCTCGCTTTATAATTTTGATGAAACACACGTTTAGTAGATACAGGGGAAAATGAACTCCCCAAAATTTTGAAAACCCGCCTTATTCTTTACTACCTTCATTCTATCTTTCATATTCTCAATCACGAGCAGTAAATGTCAATCGAAGAAGGACGAGCGTTCCACTCTTGATTTCCCTAGCTCTTTCTCATTTTCTGATTCAAACTTGAAAGAATCGACAGAAATCTAAGGTTCCCATCCGAATCACACTAATTTTCTTACTCTTAGAGAGTCGTTGATTTAGGGCATTACTACATGAGTTGTCTCTACAACGTCTGACGAGTTCGGATTCAACCCACCTCGCACGGATTAAGGTATGTTTTCTTTCTTCTCTCATCCCAATTTTTTTATGTTCTTCTATCAATCTCGATTTTATCTTATACAACAACAAGCAAGCACAATAACGATACAGTACCTTTCTCTCGTCACTTCCCTTCTGTGGGTTCTCCTTGTTGGTGGTGTCGTTTCTCACGATGTTGTCATCCTGCTTGCTTCTGCATGCCTCCGTCATGTAGTATGATAATTGCCTGGTTGCTTCAGGTCATCCTGACGTCACGCCAATTCTGGAGACTTCAAAATTAAAGGAGTGCATTTCATCTGCGTAGCATGCATATTTCAAAGGTAATTCTTCTTTTTTCAACCATAGTTACCTGTTTCATGTCCCACTGGTCCTTCTTTTTGGACGATTTTTTGTGCCCTTTTATCCTCTCTCATATATTTTCATGGAATTATTAATATTTTATGATATAAGTACCTGATTTTTTTATGCACACCAGGTGTTTGACTAAATGTTTGAACCAAAATATATATTATCATAATCAGTAAGTTAGTTCAATCTTGGAATCCATTGCACACCTAATCTTCTCTACATGTTACTGGTAAAGTAGAGAGTAAACTAAAGCTTACCATTGTTCCAATTCATTATTATTATTGTTCAGGTACTATGTTTTGTCTCTCTCAATGTATTCAACTGTACATATGCTAACTGATGGTACTTGATTTGAACATTTTGGGATTGGTAACTGTTATGCCAACAGTTTGATGTTCAGGTACTATGTTTTGTCTTGCACTAACAAATGATCAATATTTTTGTTTAATGACAATATTGTTTGTTTTCTGCTCATTGTAGGTATATGTAAAAGGTTACAGTTTTACTCTCTAATGATTTCAACTTGGCTACAGAAAAAGCTCAACAAGCAGGTACATTTGACTTTCTGGTATAAATTTTGTTTTACCAAAGCAATCTTATGTCACTTTTAGTTGGGTGTTTTTTTTTAATTATTGAGATTTTTCCACACTGATTTGGAAGGCATGTATGTGTTTTAGTCTTGACTGAAGAGTTTATTGCTACAGTTAAGCAACATGTTTTTATTGCCAGGTTGGTTTACTTCTATAATGGGTTGTTTATGTTCCAGATGTTGATTTATTTCTTGATTTTATTAATAACCAAAATTTAATATCCCAAACTTCGTCTTTGGTTTCAGTCAAAGAACCATTCATGAATTTTGTGTTTAATAGATAGCTTATGGGAAATCAGTTTTCAAAAAAAATTAAGTAATCTCTTTATATAATTAAATTGCTACAAAAGTTCAATAACAAGACAATCTTACAATAGAAGAGTTTTATCCTTTTCTAATAAATTTGTTTTATTTTCATTCTATTTATGAGCTGTGAACTATTTGAAAATCCCCTTCTTGCAATCCCCTTTTGGCAACCTCTAATAAATTAAGCAACTTGCTTTGAATCTTGTTCTTGAAAGCATAAATGTGGTTCGATTATTTTCAAATTGTTCAGAGGTTGCCAAAAGGGGATTGTCGAAGATAAGTGAACAAGATTCAAAGCAACCTACCACAGTGACAACCTCACAGGTAAATAAAAATTTCTATATTCCTATTAGATTCAATTTACTATTATTATACATAAATATGAGTAGTAATCATCCAATTATGTTTTGATAATGATAAAAAAAATCAATTTAGTGTTTAGGAGTTGGAATTTAATTTATGTAATAGGGATTAAATCTCATTTACTTACAATTTCTAAACTGATTTGATTCCCTTTACTATCTCAATATGAGAATCCAGCAATATGGTCACAACTGTGATCTATTACTGCAAAGTTGCTAACTATTTAAGCTAATCACATTTTTTTTGAACTTTAAACTGTTATTTTTCAGGGTCTGGTGCCAGGTGGAGACAGTAAGGTAAATTTCTAGATAGATTGGAGACAGTAATATCAAATTTGAGACATTAATATCAAATTCACTCACATTTATATAACTTTGAAAGGTAATTTGGTCATGAACTTAAGCTTCATTTCAATATCAAATTTGTTGGCTTGTTACATAATTAAACAATATATATAACTTAGTTGATCTCATGTTATATTTCAGACCTCCTACTTCCATGGTATTGGTCGTGTCAACCTCTGGGCTCCCCTCAATATACTGCTCCCATGACAGGTCATATGCGGTCAGATGTTTCTCCATTCCGGTCAGAAAATTATTGTCCCATTCTACATCTACATCAGGTGAAAAACCACCAATTTCTAACTGAAGCTTCTCATCCACCATGTTCTATGTTTCAGGATACAGTTCGGGCACCATTTCTTGAAACTGTGAGAGTTTGGGCAGTTCGGGTAGTTCGGGCAGCTGTTAACTCTAATTTGTTGCAATGACATTGGAATTTGCTTCTAGAGGTGCATATAATACACCGGTGACTGATGGAAGATAGGGTTAACCGGAGGCTGTTGGTGGGTTGATATAGTGCTGTTCGCAGACAATTTGGGTCACGTGATGGTGGGCCCGAGACGGTTATTTAAAATCTTTCATTTTATAATAGATTATATAAAATGATTCTTCTGTCACAACAAAGGGGTCTAAAATCTAAATGATTGAAGATGTTGGGTTCGTTTTTTTTGTTTAGGTGATTGATTATAAAACATAGCAAAGTGGACTCTTCCCTTTGTTGGCTTCTGCTTATGCCTTTAGATTTGTGGGGGAGTGGTTGAAATGGTTGTACATGGATGTGAAGTAAAGATTAGTAGCTAATGACTTCTCAACTTTGCCTGAGGCCCATGCATGTACTGCATGGTTGAAGTCCTTGACAACTACTACTATAGTTGTGAGTGTTTGATATGTTTATTATAGTATGAGTATCCTGTTTTTATTTCTCCCTATGCAACATTGTAGTAAATATTTAGGTTTAATTTGATTTGTATATGTAATATGTTGGTTTCAGGATGGAATTGAAGAATGTAGAAAACTATGTGGTGGGCATGAAGAATGTAATTGGATTCCCTCTACTCTCCCCTAGTAATTGTGAAATCCCAACAAGCATTTGTTAAAGGATTTTGATGGAATGGAATGACTCTCAATTCATATATTCTGTTAGAGTGTGATTTTTCTTGCATCATTTGCTGCAACACTTAAGTACCGTGATTTTCACCCTCTTTAGCACACATTTTTTTTTTTGATTTTCTTTATTAAAATGCAGCAGAAAATGAGGAAGAAGAGAAGGGTAGAATGGTAATTCATGCCATAGAAAGGGCAATGGTGTTAGGTTGAGAATTTTGGATGGAATAACCATAAATTTGAAATTTCCATTCGGAAAGCTTTATATGAAATGGTTTTTGTTAACTTGTGCAGGATACTATCTTAAAAAAGTGTGGTTTAATCCTGGAGTTGGTGATATTTTAATGGGGTTTTCACTGTGGAAAGGTATGAATGTATACTACATTTTTTCTTTGTTTTCCTATCCCAATTCTGAGTTTAAGTGAGTTGTTTATCCCATTTTGTTTGATGCTGTCATGAAATATTTCAGCACATTGCTGCAATCTGTCCTTATCTTATAAATATCATACAAGGTCATCAGATTGTCCAAAAATCATGAAGTCTAGTTTTCTGGAAAGGTTAGTGTATCTAGTTTCACTGAACTTTGGACCACTTTTCCTAATTCCAATTCCTTTAAGGGTATAAGTACCAATCTTTGCAGACTGGTCCATGCAGCCCACTGTTTGCATCAATCAACTTCGAAAATTCATAATAAATTCATAAAGACTACAAATGCCATGAGGTAAAATCCTATAATCAGGTATGGAAGTCTATTTTCATCCTTACCAAGGGCTTAACTTAATTCCAAGAATAAAAGTGCAGTTTAATACAAGAGTATAGACTAGCCCAAAAATTCACAAATTTCATATGCTAACTTGTCATGTGCACAAGTAATTCTACAAAACATAATTTATGTAACAGTGAAAATGATCCAACATTCCATTTGACGTGTTTGCAGATCTTGAAGCAAGTAAATATCAAGTGAGTTTTGAAAGCTATGTTATATATCATGGTTGTAAAAATCGCTCGGCGGTGGACTGGGGTCAAGCGATTAATCGGTTTGGCCGGGATTAATCGGGGATCCTAAATTACTAATAAAACTATTTTAAAATTTAATATATCCTAAGAAAATTAGTATTTGAAAATTTAAAAATTTTAAATTTTTAAATTTTTAAATATTTGGTATAATATTTAAAAGTTTGAATATTTAAAAATTTAAAATTTTGAAATTTTGTTAATTTTGGTGTAATATTTGAAAATTTGAAAATTTGAAAATTTTCCCGCCTAGGAGCGCCAAGGACCGCCGAAGACCGCCTAGACCGAGTATGACCAATTTCCGTCAAACACCCCTAATCGTAATCAGTTGCATCCCGCCAAGCGCCTAGGTCGATATTTACAACACTGTTATATATATACACATTCCTTTATCTGTTTTGTTTCATGTATGACACTTACACTTGAAGCTTTTACCTTTTGATAGAGGTATGTATGGCTTAATCCCCCTAAGCTTTTTGACTTAATGTACAAAGGACAACTTAATAGAGAAATTCAGCTCATTATGTGATAATTTCTTAATCTTTCTCATTCATTGTAGGGAATTCGTGCAAGATTAGTTTCCAAAGATTATGCGCCCAAGGTACCCTTTTGTGTTCTTTAAGTATTAAGACTCCTTGTGAAATATGATTTTAAAATTTTCGTTAGTTGATTTTCTTTTTTCTTGGATTTGACAGTGGGATATTCCAAATTTGGATATTCCTAATTCTGAGCCTAAACTAAACTTGCCCACAGCCTTAAGAGAACCTTTCATTTGATCTTTCTAGGTTTATCATAGGAATGTCCGAATGACAGTTATGCCCTTCCTACCATAAAAGCCATTAATCAATTGATTTTTATATCATGCAATTTATCTTCTAACTGTGATTTACCTTTAATAGGTCCATCTTCTGAGCTTCTTGCTTTTGGTAATTCACATGTTTCATTAGTTTCACTTTTTGCAATTTTTGTCTTACCTAAAAATTTCAATTTTGGGATTTGTAAATTTAGTTTTTTGAGGTGATATATTCAAGTTCACAAAATATGATAAATGATGATGGGTTTTAACGAACACTTTATATGATTGACATTGGCCAAAATGACATTGCTGATGTGTTTGCCAAGAAGTATTCATATGCCCAAACAGTTAAACTTTTGACTCTCATTTTATATTTATTTTTTTGTCCAGAGTATACATGATAATGGTGGCAGTAAATTTTGGGTTCCCAACACTGATTGGTTTCTTGTTATGTTCAAATCTTAACAGCTATCATGGCAACCTTCAACACTAGTTTTGGATCGACACCTTCTAGCAGAAGATATCGTGTACGTGTTCTTGTGCCGCTATTGTGGATTCGGGAACATCCTTGCTTACTGGTCCAACTGTATGTATCTCACGTGAAGCTTCTGTTAGAACTATTAATCTCAGGGATTTCAAGTTTTTCATATTTCTTGTATCTAATTAGTTTGTAAATTTATGTTACAACTTCTATTAATTTGTTTTATCTTTCCATGGAACGATTATTGTATGACATTAAATTTTATGCAATGGATTGTATTTTTTGTATATGATATTTTATTTTCTATTATGAGACATAAAATGCAAATTTAATTTGAAAATTAGTAAATTTATAAATAATAATTTTTTTAAACATTTAAAATTACAATACGCAAAAATATGTGTCATCTTCATTTATGACATGACCTTTCTTGACAGGGGATTTAATGATACGCAATGTGAGTCGTAAATGCGCGTCGTAAGGTTACGACACGCAAAAGCGTGTCGTTTTCGTTTATAATAGGGCCTTCCTTGATACGCATTGCGTGTTATAAGTTAGCGTCGTAAATGTGTGTCGTAAATAGACGACGCGTAAAAGCGTGTCGTCTTTCGTTATGACAGGGCCTTCCTTGACACGCATTTGCGTGCCGTCTGAGCGTTTTACGACACGTATTGTGTGGCGTAAAAGGTTGTTTTTCTTGTAGTGATCTGAAGATGAGGGGTTGAACCCCAAGGGTCTTATGACTATTATCAATGATTCCCCTGATTGTTATCTCAACATGTATGACGTTTATACCTCTCAAGCTGTCCAAGGGTCTAGTCAAAATCTCGAACATACTTGGTTCCTTGACAACGGGTGCTCTAGACACATAACCAGTCTCAAGTCCCTCTTAACAGATTTTATGGAGAAATATGGTCCAATAGTGGTTTTTGGAGAAAACAATGAAAATTTTAACATTGGCGTTGGAACATTTGAGTGCAGGGTGTTCAAGCTAAAGGAGGTGTTCTATGTCAAGGGTCTAAAAAACAATCTTATCTCCATTATCAACTTTGTGACGCTGGTTATAAGGTTCTCTTTGATTTCCATGAAGGAAAGGTTCTCGACTCTAAGAACAAAATTATGCTCACTGCACTCAGGGACAACAACATTTATATGCTTTGATTTTATATGTTTAGACAATGCTACTTTTTGTTTTTAGTTTTTTTATGCTTTGCTACTTTAAAAATTCTTAACATAAGCTAATACAGTTTTAGTTTAATTTGATTTTGTGCTTCAAAAATTCTTTTTAACTTTTATTTACCAACTAAGTATACATTGTACATTTTTCTTCTAACATTGGTCATTCATGTTCTTCTCCCTCGATAGTGACCTGAACTTATTTGTTCCTTTGAAAAGGATCAGCGTATCTCCCTGACGCTAATGCTAACGCTAATTGACATGTCGCATCCTGTTGATGAGACCAGATTGGAGATAATTGTGCCAAAATGTGTTCTTCTAGGCACATATCTCTTCCTTCTTAAATATCCTATCTCTGTTGAAATGGTATGAAGTGATGTTAGGTAACATTTCACGTCTAATTTCCATAGACGCTGTCACCGCAACACCACTTCCCCTCTGAAATCCAGAGACATCTTCAACAAGAAGGTGGTGCCCTTCACTTCCTTCACAAATCAGAAAGAGTGGAACCTTCAAGTTATGTCTTGGTGACTCTCATAAATCGAAGGTTACAAAGATTGGATCTATTTAACTCGTTGGTTACAGAGATTGGTTCATGCTCTTCTCTTGTTCTTGGTGAACATGAAGCTTTGTATCAATATGCAATACTTCAACGATTAAAGGCATTTTCTCTTTGGCTTAATGAATTGTGTTTTAGTTTGATATATTAGATCTTGCTTGCTTGTTCTTTTATAGACACTGTTGATGGACAGATTTCTCAGAAAAGGGAAGTTCATTTATGGCACTTCAATTTAAAAGATTTGATGAATCGGGTCTTTATCTCATTTCTAAAAAAGCTGTAAAAATATCGCTTTTAGAATATTTCCTTATTTGACTAACTCTTTTGTTTGTATTCTTATGTTATTTATTATTTTGTCTTGTACCATTTTTCAAAGATTTGATGGTGGCATTTCATAAGCCAAGTATGTAACTTTTGACAAATAATTGTCCCTAGAAGCATGCTGATGTATGTGTCTAAATCTCTCCAAGTATTTCATCAATGAGACCATCCACTGAGATGGCATTGAGTCACCCCCCTCACACATATTTTCTAGCATCGTCTAAACTTTCTAAGTGAGATTTCCTGGTCCAAAAAAAATTATAAAAAGGATTGGGTGTTTATTCTTAGTTAACTGTCTTACCTGACTCTTGTTCCTGGAAGCATGCTTGTCGTATGCATCAAGCTCATATTCTGCTAAAACATTGAGCATAAACCAATGGCTTACCCTAATTGCATAGTCACCAGCGTATGAGTTGTAGGGTTTTGAGCATTCTAACACTCCTAAGGTGTTCATGCAACCCTAGAAACCTTGGATCTATGTTTGACTAAGATACATGCAAAATTGATTTTCCAAGGTTCATAATCCTATCTAGCATACATGGGGAACTTTTAATGTAAATGTAAGCTAGAAAAACATATCGTGTAGTAGTTTGGATTCCTTGAAAACCTTGTGAGCCTAGCACCCCAAGTGTGATGCCTCAAATGTCTCACACAACAGCAAATGCTATTGGAATGACTTGAGAGAAATGTAGAACACTTCTAAAATCGGCTTGCCCTCTCTATTCTTTCTAGTGGCCGCTTTTGGTGAGCTTTATGTTGCTTATATAGTGTGTTACAATTAGGGTTACACCATGTAAACCCTAACGTGACATGACTCTTCATTTCCATGATCCATGGGTTTACACCTCCATGGAGCATCCTATGGGTCTTAGCCCAACTTGATAATCCATGGAGCATTTAGCCCACTATACAAGTATGGATGATTTACATAATCAACCCATATATTTAATTAGTCACCTTTTTGATCACTTAATTAATTCTAAATTAATTCTTGATCAATACTAATTAAATAATATTATTAATATATTAGAACTTATAATATATAAATAAACCATAAATGTTATTTCTCTCATTTAAGTCTATCCAAATGCATGATGCCATGCAACCCAAATGGACCATGCCAAACCGGGTCAAGTACATACTAGAAATAGTTATGGACTTAGACACCTTATACAATGGTCTCCCACTTGGATGAGTCAAATAACTATAACTGCAAGTATGACTTCAGGAACCGATCAGCAATCATAGCTCTTTCAAGGTCTCTCGAAACTGAGATGATGATGATACGCCATTTAAGATAAGTGATCATATAATCCTTTGTTCTAGATATCAGCCGGACAAATACATGTAACACTGTCTTACTTATTGTCCAACAGTTTGTTTCTCGATTTCCAAATCGTTTTTACAAAGAACTTAATTGAACACATCAATTTAGTTCTGACCGGGCCCGGTACATAGGTCAAAACAAAATCATCGAGGGGCCCAAATATCACTTCTAATCCAAGAAGCAACAGATAAACTTCGACTTATATGCTTGTTCTACTACTTGTTGAATCACACACAAAAGCACGTTTTATAACATCGAGTTACCAATGCGGTTTCGTACAATCAATGTATAACCAACTCATAGGCAACAAGTCATATCTCTAGGTTTGAAGACTTATATGATATTACCGTCTCACAATCACTCGAGATAAATTCCATGAAGTGATACCAGTGAGCGTGGGTTGAATCCAATACTCAGAACTTATGAGCACTCATGAGTGTTGTAGCTATGTCCAACATCTTAAACCTCTACAAGCCAACCCATGACAGTTTTAATTCATACCTACTTCCAACATATGACCGACTGTGGAGAATTTGAATAATATGAAACAACATAACATAATTATTCTGGAAGTCAAAACATGCAAAAGAAATAATAGTAAACGATTGACAAAAGATAGAAAGACTTTACTCATAAATAAACACAACTTTTATTCATCATCAAATGTCAATTACACTTTACAAATTTCAGAGCTATCTAACTACTAAAACTAATATCATCCTTCAGCCCTATGTGCCTTGCCTGCTGGAGATGCTTAACCCTACCCAGTCCCTTCGTGATGGGATCTTCTGTGTTCTCATCCGATGATACCCTCTTTGCCACGAGGATTTCCTTCTTCTATTCGATGTCTGATGAACTGGTATTTTCTGTCGATGTTTTTGGATCTCCCATGATCCCTTGGTTCTTTCGCTAAGGCAACTGCACTTTCACTATCACAGAAAATTTCCATAGGCTCCTCTATAGCTGGTACAAATCCAAGGTCTCCAATGAAGTTCTTCAGCCATATTGCCTCCTTTGCAGCCTCGCTTGCTGCTATATACTCTGATTCGCAAGTTGAATCAGCCACTGTCTCCTGGTTGGAACTTTTCCAAGTAATTGCTCCTCCGTTTAAGGTAAAGACCCAACCAAACTGAGAGCGGAAATTATGCCTATCAGTCTGGAAGCTAGCATCACTATACCCTACAACTCTCAAGTCATCACTCCCACCGAGGGTAAGGACCCAGTCCTTAGTCCTCCGCATGTACTTGATGATATTCTTTACCGCAGTCCAGTGAGCCTTGCCAGGATTCCCCTGATATCTGCTGACCATGCTCAAGGCAAAGGCCACATCAGGACGAATACAAGTCATAACATACATGATCGAGCCTACAGTGGATGCATAAGGTACTCGACTCATTTCTGCTATCTCAGCCTCGGTACTCGGGCTCTGAGTCTTACTCAATCTGGCGTTACTCTGGATGGGTAACTCTCCTTTCTTGGAATCTTGCATGCTGAACCTCCACAACACCTTATCCAAGAAGGTACTCTGACTAAGTTCAATACGTCTTTTACTACGGTCTCTCAGAATCCTTATCCCTAGAATATAGGCAGCTTCTCCTAGGTCTTTCATAGCAAAACACTTCCCAAGTCAGGACTTCACTTCCTGCAAGGTTGGGATGTCATTTCCTATGAGTAGTATATCATCCATATACAGTACCAAAAAGCTAACTATACTCCCACTAGCCTTGACATATACACAA